GGAACCGTGGCCGGCGTCGGCAGTACGTTCGGCCGCGGTACTAACGGGGCGCTGGCGTTCTCCTCGTTGTTATCCCTCAAGCAGCAGCAGCAGCAGCAGCAGCAGCAATCTCCGACCACTCGACTGTATGCCACCAGTGGAAGAGGTTCGTTTGACATTCTGCTGTCGTCGACGACGGTGGGGACAGCCGCGCGGACCGGTCAACAAAAACTTCAAAAACTTCAGAAACTTTTGCCCTCATCTGTCACAGTCACGTCGTCGTCGACGGCCGCCATCAGCATTTCCTGCGCGCCTGAACAGCCACCGCTCGTTCCGTCGAACAGGTCGGCCAGCAGCGATAGTCTGAATACGGATAGTATATCGGAAGGCGTAGGCGTAAGCCTAGGCGTTGGGGGGACAACCACTGGATCCGGCTCCGGCGGTGGCGGCATCGAGTGCAAATGCAGCGGTCGACACCTGACCCCGGATCAGGCGGTGAGGTCGTTCGGCAACAAGCTGAACGCGTTCGAGATCACCGAGATCTACAACTACATGCACGTGTATTTCGTAGGGCCGCAGGCGAAGAAGCGCAGTGGCACGTACGGTGCTCCGAATAATCATGGCTACGACGAAGAGAACGGTTGTTATTTGTTGGTACCTCATGACCATATTGCGTACCGGTACGAAGTACTGAAGGTGATTGGCAAGGGCAGTTTCGGCCAGGTGATCAAAGCCTTCGATCATAAGACTCAGCAGTACGTCGCGTTAAAGGTCGTACGAAACGAAAAACGTTTCCATCGCCAGGCGGACGAGGAGATCCGTATCCTACAGTTTCTACGCGCACGTGACGCTCACAACGCCTCCAATACCGTACGCATGTTGGACGCGTTCACGTTCCGGTCACACAGGTGCATCACGTTCGAGTTGCTGAGTATCAACCTGTATGAGTTGATCAAACGCAACAAATTTCAAGGCTTTAGCTTGCACCTGGCCCGAAAGTTCGCCTACGGTATTTTGCAATGTTTGGCGTTGCTCTTCGAGCATCGCCTGATCCACTGCGACCTGAAACCGGAGAATATCTTGCTACGACAGCCGGGTCGCAGCGGCGTCAAGGTGATCGATTTCGGCAGTAGCTGTTTCGACAGCCAGCGCATCTACACGTACATCCAGTCGCGCTTTTACCGTGCCCCTGAGGTCATACTTGGCTGCAAGTACGGTACGGCGATCGACATGTGGTCATTCGGCTGCATTCTCGTTGAGCTACTCACCGGCTATCCTTTGCTACCCGGCGAGGACGAAGCCGACCAGCTGGCGTTGATGATCGAACTTTTGGGCTTGCCGTCCGACAAGCTGCTGGTGAACGCGAAACGTGCCCGCAACTTCTTCACTTCCAAAGGTATGTCGGTCGATTTCAGTCGATCCGGTCGGTTGGTTCACCTCCATGTCTGATCGTAGTTTAATTAAAGCCGTTGACCAGCCGGCGATCAGTGCTGATGTTCGTAATCACATCGAAAGTTTGCAGGGACAAATCATCTGGCTCTTTTCCCTTATCAGTCAATCAAACTGTATCCACTTGTACAACTAGAGTTGCAGTCAACAAAAACGGTTCATTATCAGAAAGTAATATTTTTATAAGATGACAGCTGTGTGCCCAGACACATTCTCATTGTTATCCATGATCAGCCTAAGTGCGAGGCATTTGTGCTCTGCAGATCGGATCAGAAATATACCAGATGTCGTACGATCCTTGATTTTAAATTTTATCATTATTCAAAAGTGAATGTTAATTTTTCATAATTAATAGGCCTTATCAAACTCTGCTTTGCATATTCAAATGAGATGAACCGTAGAAGACCGTATTTAATGGCAAATCACTATATATAAGACATAAACTAAAAATTTTTTCAATTTATAGTTTCTAAGGCTTATGCCAATACCGTGCCGTTGATGACTTGATGGTATCCCCTTGCAGTATCCCAGTGATTTCTCCTGTTTGTTTAATTCTAGCCGATACCAAATCATCTGAAGTGCAATACCCTCTCTGTTTTCATCAAATCAAATTCAAATTTGAACTTTATTTAAGATATAGATAAGATCTTCATTGTGCGTACTAATCCTAATTATTTTCATTTACTGCATGAATCTTTAAATAATCAACATCCTAAAAACCTTATAAAATTCACTTCAGAGCACAGCACAATAACCAGATGCTATTTCTTTGCATTCTTATCAAACGAGATCGCATTGATACGTTCTCCTTCACAGCATATAGAAAATTACAGCATTCTAACCGTTATATTAACACCATCCTACACCCCCGAGTCTGTTGTCATCAGTATTACGAAATGCATGCGTGTTAGCGCTTTAAGCCATTGCACTGATGGTCGATTTTTCGTCTACTTTCTTTAATTGATTCTGCATTTAAATGCCTCGCCTACCTTTTTGATTGCATTTCCCCATCTCGACCACTTACATATCAGCATATCTGAGGAAATTAGATGACGTTTAATGTTTTTTTCAGGGTCATAACTTCAACAGGCCTACTGTATTAGAAACTTGATTCCCACCCAAGCTTTGAGACTTGAAAGCGTGGTCTGTCAATTAGCTGTGCTCGAATTTATATTGGAAAGAACAGTCAAGCGTTTAAAGTTAAATTATTATAAGACAGAAGAACCACCAAGTAACGTAACGCTGATAATTATGGTTTTGTAGTTTTGCCCTGGAGTATAGTCATGGCATTAAAAATAGAACTTGTAACGATTGCGTTGTCTCTGTTGACATTTCCGCCGCGTGGAGAATGATTAATGGTGGCTTAATTGGCAACCGATCTAGCATCCGACCAATCCAGTCAAGCACAAACTGACCCGACAGTTTGTTTTTCTTTCTTATTCAATCCCTGATGATGACCGATGCTAATTCGGTCGAGAAGTTGGAATTTTGTAAACAGCTTTTTCTTTATTTTTCATGTTGCCAACCATTGAATCATGCTAATCACGTCACTGTTTATTTCTGTAGGAAAAGTTTACTTTGGGTGTGCTTGTGTTTGATATTATAACTTCAGTCCGATGTTTCGGCTTCTGGAGGATAAACCGTCGTATAGATGATAAAAAAGTGATTTACTGGAAATGCGATATACAAGTATAAATAGATTACCGCAGAAGTGTACATAAGACGAATTTTACAGGTTTTTTAGTCGGGTTTACCCACCCTACCCGCTAATCATGCCATATTGCTTGTGTGTATACAGCAATACATAAACGTTTCGAGGGTTACTTTTGTTTTTATTTAGTCCAAGGATGCGCACGAATTTGATGATCGTTCGACCTTATGAATAGTGACTGAACAGTGATCATTTTTCATCTGTTTATAAATCCTTCTAGAGAATTCTGAAGTTTCAGCTATTTCTCTTTGAACTTTTAAGAAGCACGGGCATTGAGATCGATCTTCTCCAGTCTTGCATTTCCTGCTGAAACCTGCGGAACGCAATTGTAATATGTTTCGTCTCGAAACGTTTCGTTTTCTCTTGTAGTTCCGAAACCTCTTCTTCAGTTACTTTTGTTTCTTTTGATTCACTGAATTTTTATTTTATAATTAATACTAATGAGTCGGTCATATTATTAGACCAGAATCACGTGGTTTATAATTTGCATTTTCATCTCTAGATCAGTTTTGATGCGTTTGTTTCATTTTTTCCGCTTCTGTTCCTTTTTCCTGTCATGATTATGTTGTACCGTAGCGCACGCAAGCACTAAAGTTTATGGAAGTGTATGAGCAAAAATATGCAACATTCATTTAAAATAGTAATTAAAGTAAGGTCGACGAAGATACAAGTATTCACTATCTTCCAAAGCCAGTAACATATAGCCTTTTCGGAACAATTTGCATAATTTAGATTGTCTATGTACGGAAAATCTCTAATCTGTATGTTAAGCAATGGAGTCAGAGAAGTTCAAGGGCCAAAAGAAAGTTAATATTTAAAATTGTTGATGTTAAAGGCAAGGGAAATTGACAAAGACGGATAGGAATCATATCACAGAGTTATCCAAATCAAATGGAAATCCGCAAAACGTGTAACTGTTGCCTGTTCTCCATTTGTTGAGTTTAATATGCAAAGATTTTTAAGCAGCCGTAGGTCGACTGTTTCGCAGTCAAAAATCTGCTGAAATTTTCGAGTGCGTTGATCGGTTCCTACTGATCGCATCTTGATCTTTCTTAATTCGAACTTTGAAGGATTTCTGTGTTTTCCGATAGAAATCCTATCGCGGTTATTTGTTCAATAACTTTTTCAGAAGTGCGCCGACAAATAAACGTTGAATGCTTTTCTAATCTTTAAAACCGGTACATATGCAAATATATTCCAGTCTATGCAAATACGACTAACGAGTTTAAACGGTTCGGTTGCCATAACAAATATGCTTCAAGCTTCATGCTGTCTTTGAGTTTAAAATCAACTCACATAGAAATTTTATGTAGATCTTAAAAACTGATCGCAGCTAAAATGCTTAAGTCTGTCATCCTAATCTCTTTGTGGCCCAGTATACGCAAAAATGTATTCTCTTCCTTCAGAAGATGAATTTGGGGGGGGGGCACGCTCCATTAGCAGAACAAGACATTTCGGTATAAAGTCAGAGAATATGGCAAGCGTTCCATCTGTCATCGTATCACCAGTCAGTGATAGCGTTCAGAGCACTTTTGCAGCTATGTTCCAACATAGCATACAGATCTTTCTGTTTTTCCTTCGCACATAGTAATCATTTTCTACGGCACAATGATGGAGTGCAAGCGACCCGCCTGGAATTCTCTCCTGTCCCTAAATTTCTTAATCACCTGGTTAATAAGCGTTAAAGAATTTGGCGTTAATTTTTATGCTAACTATCTGCGCAGTCGGTGTATTTATAAACTCCACTAAATCCATCACTTAAAGATTAGGTTTTTAGTATTAAATTAATCCTGCAGTGAAACCAGTGTAGACAAAGATCATAATGGCGTGTTTTTAAAATGGTACTGCACATGCGCTCTGTAGTCTTTGTTTCGATATTATGCTTTTTCTGGATTAAAGTTGAACAGCTAGGCATGCAGCTTACCAGTGGGTATTTTATCTGTCTGATCGCGACGGTCGTCAGCAGCACTGTCCAAGCCAAACTATCCAAAGAATATTGCACAAGGCGATTTTCGCTTGGAGTAGTGGCTTTAAATTTGTAATTACCTCGACTCTATTATCTCCTTCGGTATTTAGAGTATTTGATAATTTTATATAGGAATAGCCTCTTTCCGTTTTCATAATCAGCGTACGTGCCGTGTACAACAGCAAGACAGGTTTTACTAAATACCCATAGAAAGCAAAAGAGCGGTTTTTCGACGAATTCGTGAACGCACGAATTAAGTGAGCACCGCTGATTTTCTGAGCAGATCAGTTCTTGTTTTCGCAGTAATTAGGTTTCTTCGTGTAGCGAACTCCGAATGTAGCAGGCTATTAAATTCGGTAGAATTATGTCTTGCAATATCCGTTCAGCGAATCGATTGTGCCGTCATAAACATTCGAAAAAATGGTTATAGTCACGAGACCGTATTGTAGTGCTTCCGATCTCGTGATTTTCTCAATATCATTGACGTGAGAGCACAAAATCACCTCCATTGAGGCTTCAAAATAGATTGGAGAAGTATAGGTGCAAATTGGCATTATACAGTGCCTTATAAATCGTCAGCGCAAACTGAGAGGGGCCCAAAGTGAGCGTATACGGCGAAGGTAGAAGTTAGCTTTTCTCGCATTGATTATGACGTAAACCATGTGGTCAGAGCGTATGAACCTGTCATTATGGACCACACCAGGGTACTTCTCATTTTTAACCCCGGTGATTGACGCATGAATTGGATTAGTTTCTTCCGTGGCGTCCATTTTTAGAACTAAAGAAACATTCCGTTTGAATTAATTGTATTCCAAAGATATCTCTGAGTAAGTTGTGCCAATCTAACGGTTTCATCTTAGGCAAGTCACTTACGCTGCAATTAGAATAAATGACATGTCTGACGGAGGAAGTTTCAAAATAGACGAGGTAGTGGCTTTAGGTTTCACGAATAAATATTTTTTTCATTTACTGTTGAATTCGTACCGCTGATGACTGGCAACGGCTTCGTCTTCTGATTTCATGGCTAGCGGCATAAAAATAAGAAGTAACTTGTTTATGTAACGCAGATACGACGTTTCTACGGAGCTGCCATCGATCATAGCGCTACGAACACCTTAAGCTGAACAGCCTAGAAAAAAACGATGTAATTATTTTAACATTGTTATCTTTGTTACGTCATAATATGTAAACATTAGATTATAAGCATCATAAACTGTTCAGATTCCAG